TGACCCAGTTTTTTTGAAGTACGTATGTCTTGATTACATTCATTTATCTACTTTTACTTGTAACCTTCCAGTAGCTTACTGAGAGGCTACTTTTCTATAGTAGCACTGCTTGGAAATGATGTTTTTTTAGAGGAAATTTTAAAACCGTTTCCATAGCTCTTGACTATAGTCTTAGGAACTGGCAATTAGTGTCTAGGTCCCTGCTTCCCACCAGGGAGCAGCACTGGGCCTGAGAGCAGCCCCACAGACTCCCTCTCAGTGATTACCACCCTCCTTCCTCATACAGCACTTAAATTTAGTTTTGGTATTTCCTTACATTTTTAAAAGGCTTAGTAAGTGTCCAGTAAATGGTAGCTGTTCAGGCTCTGTGCTTATAAGGGATATTGTTTCTCACCGTTGATTCTTCTGTGTACCAGAATCTTGTCTTTAATGATGATTTATTTGTTCTGTCATTTCAGATACCTTGTGTTTATTATAACTTGGAAAATCTTAGAAGGGAAACCAACACCTCACAGTTATTGAGCCACTGTGATGTGTCAAGCATGAAACTAGGTACTTCTCATAGGCTACTTCACAATCTAGGGAAGCAAAGAGGCAAGGGAACAATAGTGTTACAAAACAGTAGGAAGATACTATAGCAGAATGTTTAATACTTCTATTTTGCTGTTGAGTAATCCGAGGCTAGGAGAGGTTAAATCACAGCAGAGCATAGATTCCCTTCAGACAGAATTCCAAATCCCATGCTGTATCAATTATATTATCAGCCCTGCCATAAAAACAAAAAGATTTGTTGAGAGTGACTGAAGCCACAGTGTGGAATGCCTGAGACTGATTTCAGTGATGTAACTCCTGTGACGTGGTGACAGGAGAATTTAGGGTTGATGTACTTCAAACTTCAATGGGGAAATGGGGTTAAGTGCTGAGTGATCCTGAGTGATCCCACGGAAACCCTCATATGGGTGCATTTACATGCACATACACCACAAAATATATGTAGGTGTTACTACATAACTGGTTTAGGGTTCACTTTCAGTCCTTGTAACTGGATTCAGGGTGAAACTTTGAACCACAAGTGGCGGGAGTAAAGTTCCTCTTGGCACCTGTCTGGGTTCTCTTCTGTTGCCCCTAGTTACATGTTACACTATGATCTGCTTTGGAACCTCGCCGTCACATCTGTCAGTGTTTTCCATGTCAAGCTCCTCCGGGAGAGAACCCAGCAACTGATAATTCCCATCTTAACTCCTGTGCTGGATACTACCTGTAATCCTCACAGTAACTGGTAGGTTAGGTAATTATTTCTTCCTAGTTTTCTATGGATTACTATGTCTGAATCAAAAATCATCAAATGCAGTTTTTAAAATATGAGTGTGTTATGGAATACAAAGAAGGGTATGATTAATGGAAAAGAAGAACAATTAATCTGAATTGTTTGGAAATTATAGAGCACATGGTTTCTATAGTTACGGTGTCAAACTGTGGTGTATAATAAGAGAGAGAGATACTTTGTGGAGGATTAATCGGGTACATTTATCTACAAATCTGCCAATGAGATCCAATACTTTTCTAAGAGTGTGTAAGTGTGTGTGTTTTCCTGTGTGTACAGCTTCTGTATGAAGACAAAAACTGATGCAGAACAAAGAAAGACTACCCACACATAAATCATTTGTCCATGAACTGTGTACAGCTGCTGACCAAACATCTTATTTCCAATTGCTTTAAGGGAAGTTTAACAGAAGTCCATGGAAGGAAACATTTAAATCTCTTTAATATATTTTAGTTAGCAAAGTGTTAAAATTTCAAACTTTTGTTCAGGGAATAGCTTTATAAAATTAATCACAGTCTTCTAAGTCCTTGAATTATCTTCCATAACTTTTACAGTATATTTTATATACTTCTATATAGTATGTTATAATCATTTAATTCTATATAATTTACAGTAATTGTTTTCAAATTAAGGAAGTGCTGTATATAAAATAAAAAGTGTGTGTTTGTTAATTACATAAAATAGGAACTATTATTCACATAAAAAGCTAACTCTTCACTTTACTCTTTCCCTTTATTTTAGTCCTTTTAATTACAAAAATAATACGGTGTCATAAAATCTCCAACAATACTTATAAAGTACGAAGTGGAGTCCTTTCTCACCTCCTGCCATTCCCAGTATCAAAGGGTAACCACTGTTTATAATTGAAGTATGACCTTACAGACCTTTTTCTATGCCCATGCAATCATAGATGCACCCTTGTAAAAAGTGATTCTCATTCTTGAGGAATTAGAAGCATTGCTATTTGAAAAAAAATTTGGTTTGATGATTTTAGTCATTTTGCTAAAAGGAGTGATTTTCACAAATACAGATTATTTTGTTATAAGCCAGCTTCTAGGAGTAGTCCCTTGATTTTCTGTATTTTGCAGTGTCCAGGGATAGTTCGTGTATGATGGAAAATCAGCCCATGTCAACTAACATAATAAAACTGAGTTAATCCCAAATTGACGATTTAAATCCCTTTAAAATTACTTGTTGAAATCAAGAAACAATCCACTCAATCTGTCATTTCTTTTAAGCTTATTAGCAGTGGAATTTCTTAGGTGACTCTTTAAATCATAAGTATGTAAGGTTCTCAAGTTGATACTGAGATTTCCTGTTGCTAGGAGAAACTAACACTTATTTGGTGTTGGATACTGTAAGTCATAGTGCTTATTGGAGGCGGGGGAGGTGTGTATAAATGGCCAATTGCCCTTTGGAGCTAATTTGCCCTGTTTCTGTGTCCTTTCTGTTCTGATATACTTGTCACTAGAAGAAATATGCACAATGGGTAGGGATTATGCATCAAGCATCAGGATTCTTTCATGTAAAAAAGTCCCCTCAAATTTAATGTGAAAATACAGTTGGTAAAATATGTAAGAAAATGTGGATCTCCTCAAATCCTTCGTGAAGCAAAGCAATGTAGAAACCAAGTATATAAAAAAAAACAAAGGTTTTATTTCAGGTAATAGCTGTGAATGAGAAAATTGATGTATTCCTAAGAATATTTTAATCACATCTCTCTCTTTTTTCGATTTTTTTAATGATCTAAAAATTATGTTTTCAAATTTAACATGTTATAACATGTTTTTTCCCCTGAAGATAATTTACTACAGGATTTTTCTGTAGTTGAGATTCTGTAGTTTTTCACCAGGTTGCTAGCCTCACAGAGTCCATGGTGTCTCAGAGGAGACAGATAGTTAGGCAGCTACAGTGGACTGTGCTGAGTGCAGCGCTTCAGAAAGACTTCCCAGAAGATACGGCTCCTTAAGTGATGCCTGAGAATGTTTGCTCATTAGTCAGGCAAATTAGTCCTGGGAGATCAGTGGCCAAGAGTCAAGGGATCTACAGAAGCCTGGTGGTGAGAGACTGGAACATAGTCAAGTAACTGGTAGAAGTTCAGTGTGGCTGCATAGAGTAATTATAAACATTTATTATGATAATATGTTTATTGTATATAAAACTTGAAAAATACAGGAAACAAGAAAGCATACTATCACTAATTTCAAGCCACAGAGTTTACTATGAACATATTGTTATGATTGTCCTGCCTTACATTTGTATTTGTAGAACAGCATGTTTGGTACAGTCCGGGTTTGGCTTGAACAGTAGATACATATGTAGGCATAAAATGCATATACATATATGAAAACATTTTAAGTAAAACTGGGATCATGCCAAACATGCTGTTTGTGACCTGCTTTTTTTAACCTGCTATTTTCACATTACAATAGACTTATTTTAATGCCCTTGGATGTAATTGTATTTTAAGTTGGAATGTTTCATTTCTGTGAGAAAAAGAAAGATATCTTCTTTTTTTTTACAATAGATCTTTTAATGACTATTTTTTAACATTAAGAATATTGTATTAGCGAACACCTTATCTCTTTGAACATTCGCTCAATGTATTAAATAATTTATATTGAGAAATAAGTTTTGTGTTCTGTACAAATTAAAGGACCCATGAATAAATCGCCCTCCCCCCGCCAAAGCTCGAATTTGCAATGGTCTCAGCAGAAAATAAACAGTTCACAATTTAAACAGAATTCATAGCATTACAAAAGTTTACAGAACTCCTCTCTTCTCATTTTTTCTAACAGCAAAGATTACAATGACAGAACTGAAAGATCAGAATGTAAAAATATTTGTGCAAAATTGCATTAATTGTTCTTACCATTTAATAGAGGTAAAACCTATAAACACACAAGGACGATAATAAAGAAAAACTACATTGAAAATCATTCTATTTTGGGTTTCAAACAACATGGATTATACTATTACTAAACATTAAAGAAAATGTGGCACCATGAGCAGCAGGAGCAACAGATGATTTCAGCAGTTGTGCCAGCCAAGGAAGTTGACACTGGAATATGCCGAAGCTTACCTTCACACCAGCCATCCATCTTAAAGACTGGAAACAACTATAGGGCTTACACCTCACGTCAATGTCTTTATTCTTGAAATTTGTAGATCATAATGACATAGTTAAGAAAGTCCTTACCCCCTTCTCAAGGAGTGTTTCTTGTGTCACTGGAAATCTTTAGGAAAGTTGAATCATGGACTCTCTGGTCTTCCCTACACCAATCCATTTAACTGGAATCCGAAGCTCATCTTCAATAAATCAAATGTAATTTTGTGCGTTAACTGGCAGTTCTTTAAACGTCCTTGCATATGATATGCCTGTGTTCCATCCTGGAAGTGTCTTATATTGAACTTAAACTTTATTTAAGATCTCTTGGTTTGCTGGGTGCGTTAACTGGCAGTTCTTTAAATATTCTTGCATTTGATATGTCTGTGTTCCATCCTGGAAGAGTCTTATATTGAACTTCAACTTTATTTAAGATCTCTTGGTTTGCTGAAAGTTAAAGAGTAAGTATATTAGTTCATGCTGAACACTGCCTATTGTCCAACAACTTTTTGATATCTCATAGGTTCACAATCTCTTATTAAAATTGCTGAAGCCAGATGCGTTTTGCAATTACAAGTTTTTCACATATTTAAGCAAAACGAGATCCAACCAGCCACATCTTCTTTTCCTTCCAGTAGTCACACCAAACTCTCCACCCCTTGTCTGTAATAATTCTCCAATTTCGTTGTCTTGCTCTGTAGGAAAGGCACCGATACCAACTCTAGTTGTGTAAGCTTTCACAACCTCACACACTTCCCCAACATTCTGAGGGGTCGTACCCAATCCAGTACAAACACCTCCAACTGTACAGTTTGAGGAAGTTACAAAAGGGTAAGTTCCAAAGTCAATATCTAGAAGTGCTGCATTTGCACCTTCTACCAAGATTTTCTTTGGTGGTCCATGCAGGGCCTCATATAGAAAATACACTCCGTCTCTCACCATTGGTTAAATTCTTTCCATATGACCCTTGAGTTTTGTAATTCACCTTCGATGTCTATTTCCAAAGTGGGGTATATAGATTTGTACTGGTTTGCCAGAACTTTGAACCTCTCAGAGAAGCCATCAAAATCAGAAACCAGATCGCACATCCTGAGTCCACTCCGAGCAGCTTTGGAAGAATAAACTGGGCCGATGCCCTTTTTTGTGGTACCCAAATTCTTTCCTGCTTGTTCTTGTCTCTGCTGTTCCTGGATGCCATCAGCTGCTTGATGAAAATCAAACACATTATGAGCTCTGTCAGATATGATAAGCCTTTTTTCCCAGCCTTCCAGACCTTTTCCTTTTTTAACATTTTTTTCTGCTTCCTCAAATAATCCCGGTAGATGAATTACCACACCATTTCCAATGAATGCAGTAACATTTAGATTAATTATTCCACTGGGTAAAAGATGAAAATCATACTCCACGGAATCTATAACAACTGTGTGGCTGGCATTATTTCCTCCCTGGCAGTGGCACACGATATCCGCGTCCTGTGCCAGCAGATCCACCACCTTCCCTTTGCCTTCGTCGCCCCACTGTGCGCCGAGCACCACTGTCACCCGGTTCCCTCCGGGCCGCACCCGGGGGCAGCTGCAGTCGCCATTGGGCAGGGAGGATGCTGCCCGGTAGGTCTCAGCCAACGCCATGGCTCCACTGACACAAGGAGAGCCCCGGGGAGAGGCGGACAGCAGCCGAGTGCGCGAAAGGAACTCGAAAGATACCTTCTTGAAGTTAACCACCTGTATTCATATCTGCAGGAAGAATGCTTCCTGAACCTGGAGGCTCCTATATCCAGAGTATGTGGGTATGACACACCCTTTCCTCACATTTTTGAGCCATTCTACATCCCAGACAAATGGAAATGCTATGATGCCCTTCGAAAGATGATCAATTATTGACCACACGGGTAAGTCGGCCCTGCATTTTGAGAAAGCTAGCATGTTCTGTTGCCCAAGGAACAATGGCCAGCATTGTCGGCCCTGCATTTTGAGAAAGCTAGCATGTTCTGTTGCCCAAGGAACAATGGCCAGCATTGTGTTGTGTTTTGGTAAATGTCAAGTTCCAGAACAAAATGTGGACTTAAAAAAAAATTAAATTCATAGTATATTTGCATTTAATAGAGACATAATAAGCATGTGTATTGTCTGATTTCTCTAAAACAGATGCTTGCATTTGTTAACATTGAATAGTCACTAGATGAGGGTGTTTTCTGCCATGGTTTAATTGCAAATACACCCTGTGTTCCAATTTTTACCCTCATTTCTATTATATTTTTATCAGCTATTAAAACCCTTCACCAATAGGGGTAATTTTTGTTATTTTAAAATTGCCCTTTAAGCACCATCAATTTGGACTCTAGTGGTTTCGACTCTGTGATGACCCATACATAACATTCTGAAATTTGCCTTTATATTACTTGAAAAAATAACTTCGTTGAGTAGGAAACCTATGAATTGTGTATAAGGTAAATTTTTACTTTAAAAAAAAACAGTAAAATATCCAGTGCAACCACCATTACAAGGATTTTTTTGACAAGTGGATGTTTTTACATTGTGGATAGTAAACGATGTTTATTCACTATGATTTCCTAAGTTGTGCTTATATGCCCCTTCAGCATGTTAGTCTAGCAACAAGGAATACCATTAAACACTGCTAAGTGAGTTTTTAGAGTTTTAATACTCTAGAAGTTGCTGTCACTGACACACTGATTTATTTTGTCTTTGGCAATTTTGAAATTATTCAAAAATGCATAGGAAGGAATTAAATGCTGTAATAACACAGCCATACTTTTTAAAGATAAGAGACACTATTCCTGCATTCTTTGAATGGGTAGTAAAGCCAGTTAGCTCTCCTGAACCAGCGAGAGAAACCTTAATTTGTGCAGATAGAGAAAATAATGCCCTCCTTCTTCCCCACTGATCTCCACACCAGAGTGTTTGGAGTTCTCTTCTGAGAATACTGTTAAGTTAGGTCCATTAGTCCACATAGCCCTGGCATCTCTCAGACATGCAGAGGTAAATGCTTTATTTCTGATGTCCTCTTAATGTCTGTGCGAGCAGCTGGCTTCTAGAGCAAGTAGCATGAGGACTGGTTAGGGGACTTCCTCATTTTGTTGTCCATCTTATTCCATCCTATGGACCATCATAATGGAGAGTCAAGGTAATAACATGTGGCCATATACCTTGTAGCTAATTTGAAGGTAATATTTAGGTGATGGTTTTAAATTTGGATATGTATTTCCTTTTAAACAACAAAAGATATTAGCCTATTATGAAAATATGATAAAAGATGCATAGGTTTTTCTATACTGAAAGTTAAATATGGCATTAGAGAAAGTAGTTATGCAATTAAGAAAAAAATTTATTTAATTCACTGTGGCCCATATGTCTATAATTGTCATTGATTTCTTTTACAGAAAAACTGGAAGATTGTGACTAGATACGGAAATATTTTTCTGAATTTTTTTATATTTTCTCAGATTTATCTCTCCTTGAAAATAGAATTTTTATGAAATGAAGCATGATGGATATTGGCTGAAAATTATAAATTAGTTATTGTATTGACACACATGAATTGATTTCCATTAAGAGTGTTTCGGATGGACTTTTTTAAATGTTCGTATGATAGTCTTTTAATTCCACTTATTACATCTGTAAATATCGGGTGTGGGGAAAGGAGTCAATAAAGCAAAATCAGATTGGTCTTCAGGTTGTGTGTCTTTTTTTTCATTAGTAAAAAGACTTTTTGTTGCAGATGAAGGGAATCAAAATTCTGCTACCGTGAAAGTGCTCTTTTGAGAAATTGAGTTTAAGCTGTTTATTAAGAAATAAGACTCAGGGAGCCTTTAATTCTCCCCATTCTCCTTCCTCCTGCCTAAGAGATTCAGACAGAGAAACCTGCTTCAGGAAGACCTTGGGATGTTCCCGTAGCCTAACGGGAATTAATGTGGCAAACAAGAAGGCTTCAGGCAGGTGCCTGTTAGTGGGATACCCCTGTGTCCCATTGTTTCTGAGGTGCCTAGCAAGGATTTTTCTGCCATGTATGTTCCCCACTTCCTCAACTACCTGCAGGTTGCCCTTTGTCACTTCTGAAATCTAAGACCCAGTTCCTCCCTTTTCCCCTTTGTCCAAAAATGTTTTATATACCCAATGTTGCCTCACTGTCTTTGAAATCTTCATGGAATCTTCATGCCTATGTGAATTTCCCAGGCATGTGTATTAAAACTTTGATTTTTCTCCTGTTAATCTGTTTCTGTTCATTTGATTATTAGCCCAGCCAGAAGAACTTATAAGATGGGAGAAAAAGTATTAATATTTTTTTTAGCCCCCATACAGACTAATCGTTAACCTGCTAATTAGATCTGAGTAAAATGAAATGCTTAGAAATGCTGAATTTTCAACTTCATTGTATCTGGTTTAGTTTTTTTTTGACTAAGATGGATGATTGTATATTGATAACACTTCTGAGATGTTTTTCCTCATCCTTCCGTCTTGCCTCACAAGGCACGGATGGGCGTGCTCACTCTTCCCCAAGCATGGAGGTAGGATTAGCCTTGCTGCCTCTCTTCATGGACAGCATAAGCCTTAGTTATAAAGGAGCCAAGCTTTGGCCATAGTTGTATTTTTTTGCCATGATGTTACAAAGTAAATATTGTTTTCCCTGTTCTTTATATTATTACTAGAGGCCCAGGCTGAGGCAGGGGGTTCCCTCAGCCCGGCCTGCGCCTTCTGGCAGTCCGGGTCCCCAGTGGGGGGTGTCCATCCACCTGCTCGCTGCTGCTCCTTGGCGCTGCTGCTGCTGCTGCTGCGCTCGCCAGCCGTGAACCCAGTTTCTGGTTGAGCAGCGCTCCCCCTGTGGCTCGCCAGCCTTGAACCCAGTTTCTGGTTGAGCAGCGCTCCCCCTGTGGCGCACTGACCACCAGGGGGCAGCTCCTGTGTTGAGCATCTGCTTCCTAGTGGTCAGTGCGCATCATAGCGACTGGTCATTTTGTCCTTCCACCATTTGGTCAGTTTGCATGTTAGGCTTTTATTATATAGTTATATAGCTAAAAAGAAAACATTAGCAGCAACAAAAGGCTCAAGCTGAAGGAAGCCTTGTTGGGGACTTTGCCAGGTCCCCTTGTATCTTCTTTTGCCTCTTCTGCCTTTCTCCATAGTTTTAGGCCTGACCTGCCAAGGAGTCCCTTTGTAAAACCCTCAACCTTGACCCTGCCCTCAGGGGTGTGCTGTTAGCTCGCCCCATTACCATCGGCCCAGCAAAAAGCTCCACCCTCCCAAACAGCAGAGAAACAGGGTGATAGAGTGTTTTCTTTCTCTATAAACACTGAAAAAAGTGAACATTTTCTTAGGCTTACCAATGTATATGTCATATTAAAACTGCAATTTAAAAAGTGTATCCTGTTTATTTTTATCAGATATTTGGAGGAGAATACAAAAGTAACATTTATCAATTGCCACACGTTGGGAGATAAAGGAAAGGCACTTAAACACAGATTCCGGATCGCAGTGGGCTGAAATAAAGAACCAAAGTGTTTGTTAGGGGTAAAAATACAGCCCTGCCCTTGGTTTAAAAATAAGAACACCTGTGTAGTGTAGGGTGGGAAAGATGTACTTGTCAGCAACATGTTGAGGAAGGATTTAGGGAATCCAGTTGGCTCACTGTCCAGGACTTTCTGAGTGTAAGGCACCAAAACTCAGTATGGACTTTGGCTTTGGCCTTTGTTCCTGCGGAAGGCTCCAGGCACCCTCGCTGGGAAGTCCACACTCACATGGTCAGCCCACAGAGCAGAAAATGTGTGGTAGTCAACCACATCTTGGCCTACAGTGGGTCCTGTTTGAACATATTTGTTTTAGCTGCACTTATTTTTTTTAGTGGCTATTATTTATGATTTTAGTTGAAGTTACTTATTTTAAATTATGTTGCCATTGGTAATTTTTAATACTTTTTTTTTTACTTATTTGATATTGTACAATTTTCCTGTAGGTATTTCAATTTTATTTTAACGTTGTTCTTGAAATGAGACAACTGTGGGGATAATCTATGCAGTAATCGCCTGAATTTGAAAGCATTTTCCCCTCCAGTTAGCCCTACAGTCCCCAGCAGCAAATACTCCTTCCCTTCTGGTTAATTCTGAGCTCAGTCTGCACAAGATGTGCATATGCACCTAAGAAACTGTGTTAAATACATTTATTTACTTGAAACAAATTTTCCATATTGTGAAAATAAATCTCTGATGTGTCGTCTTCTGATGAGAAGAAACATCAGAGATGTTAAACGAACGCCAAAGCCAGAATCCCCCATGCTCAGCTGCGTAATAAGTCTGCTCCCTGTGACAACGTGGATACATAAGTGAATATAATCTTCTGTAGCTCAAAGTTACCCAGTTTTGTTTGGAAAAAATATAACATTCACATTCTGTACAACTGATAGATATCCACGCGGAGTAAACAGACCTGTGTACATTAGCAAAAGAAATGCACAAGGTCCAGAAATGACCTCAATCCAGTCCCTCAGGGTTAAGTCACATAATCTACAAAGTCTTGGTGAGAATCCCGTAGACATTCCATTCGGTTTAGTGAAATCCCTTTCCCATCAGCTTGCCTGTGGTGGACACGTGTGGTCTCTGGCTGCCTGGCATCCCTGCCCCACCTTCTAGTAACAGCGCTGCCGTTTGTTTAGAGAACCCCCTCTCCCCACCACATGTGGCTCTGGAGGGGCTGCCAACCCCAGTGCCGACCAGCACTGGCCACAGGCATGGCCCTGGCCCAGGCTCCAGCGGGGACCTCGGAATAGAAAATCAGGTGGCCGGTGCAGACCCAAGATGTAGCCTTAGTCTTGTCAACAACACTGCATTCTACAAGACTGGTCCTCAAACTTCTACCTGTTCCAAGGTCACCTGAGAATACAACTGATAGGTGTTAACCAGCTAGTCACACAGCATTACCTACAGCAGAAATGCTTTGGGGTCCTGACATGTTGGGATTGCCAGAGAGATGTGAAGTTTGGAGACTGATATGCTTCGTTAGCCCACCTAGTTTGGAAAGAAATAGAAAATATTCATATGTGGGCAAAGATTTTGAAACCCTGATATCTGATACCTCCATGAATATGGTAATTAAAGATATTTGCCTGGAAAATGAGAAATAAAATTAGAACAAGGATGAGGAAATCACAGCTGGAAAGGATCAGAGGTAAGAATGGAAACAGATTAAATAAAATGATACATCTAAATAATTACCTTAAATACACTTTTTGAAAATTTATTTATTTATTTTTATTTTTTCCTTCAGCATTTATCCTCTATATGCCCTCCTCCACCTCCCCCCCTCCCCCTGGCTCCCCTCCACCCTACAATCACAACACTGTTATCTGTGTCCATGAATTCTCTTTTTTTTCTTTTTTGCTCAACCTCTCTACCTCTCCTTCCACTTCCCCCAATTACCCGCCACCCACCAGAGCTGTCAGCCTGCTCTCTGAGTCTGTCTCTATTATTTGGTAGTTCAGTTTCTTCATTAAATTCCATATATACACTTTTATGTAACAAATGTTCCACATTTGGCAAAGGAATATGACGTAGTTAAATTCTTTATATTGTAAATGTGTAACAGTAAAATGTAAACAAAACTTATGAATACAGAAGATATGTACAGAAAAGTTGTACAAGGCTTTGTCATCCTACTTTCACTTTGCTAGACAAAGTGGACAATCATAAGTAATAGGGTTGGGTCAATAGAAATGTATTTTAAACTTTGTGCCTCCATGAACATAGAATAATTACATTTTAAAGTATGCATGAGCAGTTAAGAAAAAATGATCATATACTAAGGCACCAAAACCCCCTCCCCAAAAAAACCCAGTAAATTCCTCAAAGAGTATTACAAGGCATGTTTTCTGACCACATCCCAAATAATGACAAATATTTCAACTACTGAGAAGTAAAAAAACACCCAGCTTCATAACTGTGGAGCCACGGAGGAAATGTAAAACAATTACAGAATATTTAGAACATAAGATCACTGATGTGCCTTTGCCAGGGTTTTCCTCAGAGGTAAATTCATAGACTTTGATCTTAAATCTTGTAAAAATAAAAACTGAAAATACAAGAATGTAAGAATAAAGATGAGGAAGCACAAGAAGAAAGAAAAAGTTAAAAGCAGAAAGTTCCAAATGAGAAAACACTATAAGCTCAATATTTTTATAAAAATGAAAACTTTTATTTTATAGCTAGAGGCCTGGTGCATGAAATCCATGCATGGGGGGGCATCCCTCGGCCTGGCCTGCACCCTCTTGCAGTTTGGGATCCCTTGGGGGATGTCCAACTGATAGCTTATGCCCGCTTATCTAAGGGGAGCGGGCCTAAGCCATCAGTTGGATGTCTTTAGTGCAGCCATGGAGGCTGCGCTCCCAGCCATGAGCCTGGCTTCTGGCTGAGTGGTGCTCCCCCTGTGGGAGCGCACTGACCACCAGGGGCAGCTCCTGCGCTGAGCGTCTGCCCCTGGTGGTCAGTGCGTATCATAGTGATTGGTCGTTTCACTGTTTCGTCAATTTGCATATTAGTCTTTTATTATATAGGATGCCTGTGTCCTGTGAGGATGGAGCTATGCTTTTATGTGATATTAGCTGATGCCTCAATGATGGCATCAGCTAATACCATTAAGGTCCCTTTGTTTGAGGGGAGGAAATTATTTAACAAAACCTAAACATTTAC